CCAAGACCGACAACGCGTGAGGATCTCGACCGCTTGCTGCTCAAATTTCTTCCAGGCTGAACGGAAAGGACGGGCGCAGGATTGCACACATAAAGCGAGCCATGAAGTTCGGTGGCACTCATGTCGAATTAGATGGTGAAGCTGGCATCTCTCGGGGCAATTAGTTCTTCGGCCGCCGGACGGGCCTGGAGATCCCTCGCTGACGACGGCCATCGGCGGCAGCTCCGCTGCGCGCTCGAGAGAGGGACAACCACAGCGCAGCACGAGCCGCAAACTGTGAGGAAGCTTCTCGAAAGATGCTGAACGACAATCCTGTGAAGTGGATTGGAGGGCAGCGGGTGTGTACCCGATTTTCGCTGATCGGCAACGCCAGGCGGCACTCGATGAAACCTAAGACTGGGTCATGAGGAGGGGGAGGAGAGATGAAAAGGGTGAGCTCGGGAGGCGGGCGGGAATGAGGCGGAGAGCGATGCAGATGCTCTCGCCATGCCTTCGGCGACACGTTGCCCTGCCCAATCTGCAGTCATGGCGGCGAAGGCCCCCACTTCCAGCAGGCGTGCAGACGTGCTTGCTGGAGACCGACGAGCAGTCCTGCCCTAGGCGGGCAACGTGTGGTGCTGACAGGGAAATGCGAAGCCAATGAGGCCATCGGTCTGAGAGAGAGAGAGAGAGAGCCCACCGCGACCTCGCAGAAGTCGACGGCCAGAGGCCTCCAGCCACGGGCGGTGCGGGCAGCCGCCGGCGTCATCGCCCTGTCCCTGTCTTCGCTCGCCGCGAGCCTGAGTCCGCGGTGGGCGGACCGGGCATGACAAAAAAGGTGCACGTCTCTCCTTCGGGCACGGTCGCCCAGAGGAGTGAGGGTGCAAAATCGAAATCGATGCCCTTTGGTCGGGCGCACGCGGACATGGATTGGTGATCCGTGGATCTGGGGCGTGGGCGCCAGATCCATGGATCGGGAAGACACCACCGACATAGGAGGCCAGTGCCGCCTCATTTGGCGGCGGAGCGCTGTTGATTCTGCATGGAAGCGGGACCCGCCGCTAATCCCACGCGCCTTCATCCACGTTAGTGGTGCCTCGAGAGGGACACGTGAGAGCGGGCATGATCTTTGAGCAGGGACCGACCGTCCAGGCATTCCTATAGGCCTACCATGGAATGTTCTTAGAACCGAGAAGCGTTCTAAGGACAAAAACAATGGTCTCATAACATAAACCTATGTGTTAAAACAAAACAGACTCGGCCAAAATAGTTCTAAGAGCTTCTCGTCCAAATCACAAAAGGTTCTTAGAACATTCTTTGGTGGGCCTATAGGCGAGACGGGACGCTTTGCCACTGCTTGAGATATGCTGCCCCCCTTTTGGGGTGGGCACATAAGTGCACCCGTTTAGTTAAAACTGCCTAGGACCGAAACCGACGGACATGGACCCGCAAAAATGACGGCCGCGACGCCCTCTCGCGAACCGAAAACAGCCAATTCGCTAATCGACGTGTCAGGGTAGGAGGTCTATCAACCTCCGACTCGAGAGGGACACGTGAGGGCGGGCATGGTATGCTGCCCCCCTTCGGGGGGCCGCAAAGGTGCACCCATTCGGGGAGACGTAAGACTCAGGCACGGGGAACTCGAGTTGGCCTGTCGGGGCCATCGTGAAAATGACGAGACCCAATCTGAAACTTGACGCGGGCTCCCGCTGCACACATCCCACGAAACTGGACCGTCAAAATCCAGGACGCGCTCGTCAAAAAACGTCGGCACACCCGAGTCCCTGCGTACCCGAATCTTACGCTTCCCCGTCCCATCCTCCGGCGCATCGGCGTGGGCGCGCGAAGGCCGCCGCGCAGTCCCGCCGGCCTCGCAACGCGGGTGCGGGCAACGGCCCCCCCCCCCCCTGCACGGTTTCTCCCCTGGGGCCGTGGGCGACCCGAGGAGGGGGAGGAGGGGGAGGAGGAGGAGGAGGAGGAGGAGGAGGAGGAGGAGGAGGAGGAGAAGGAGGAAGAGGAGGAGGAGGAAGAGGAGGGGGAGGAGGAGCACGGGTCGCCTAAGCCCTTCGGAGAAACCCGCCCCCCCCCCCCCTCCACCCCGCATCTTTTTTCCCGGAAAGGGCTTAGGCCGAGGGTTCTCTTTTAGCTGTTTACCCCCGGACCTGACTTGAGGTGGGCCGGCGGAATTATTCCCGGATAAATATCGAGGTCGAGGTGGGCCGGCGGAATTATGTTTGAGGATGTCCCTAGCGAAACGCTTGTTTTTGAAATCGCGATCGATAAATCACAGGGTGCGGGAAACATTTTGGTCAGGGGCACGGATTACGTATGTTCCTATAGATTGGCCCCATCCAATGGCACGCATCTGGGTGTTTTTACGTATGTTCCTATAGATGGGCCCTCTCATTGCCTATAGATTGGCCCTCTCCAGGGGCACGATTACGTGCGTTTTTTTAAATATATTCCCATAGATTGGCCCTCTCCAGGATTACGTGTGTTCCCATAGATTGGCCCTATCCAGGGGCACGAACCCGTGTTTTTACATATATTCCTATCAATGGGCCTCTCATTACCTATAGATTGGCCATCTCCAGGGGCACGACTCCGTGCGTTTTTACATATATTATTATAGATTTGCGTTCTCCGGGATTACGTATGTTTCTATAGATTGGCCCTCTCCAGGGGCACGAATCCGTTTGTTTTTACGTATGTTCCTATACATTGGCTCTCTCCACGGGCACGAACCCGTGATGTTTGTATGTTCCTATAGATTGGCCTTCTCCAGGGGCACGAGTCAATGTTTTTTTTCGTATGTTCCTATAGATTGGCCCTCTCGAGGGGCCCAGAAGTCTCAGGGGGCCCCAGGAGGCCCCAGGAGGTTACAGGAGGCCCCAGGAGGCCCCAGGAGGTTCCAGGAGGCCCCAGGAGGTCCCAGGAGGCCCCAGGAGGCCCCAGGAAGCTTAAGGAGGGCCCAGTAGGCCCCAGGAGGCCCAGGAGAGCCCAGGAGGGCCCAGGAGGCTCCAGGACGTCCCAGGACGTCCCAGAAGGCCTCAGGAGGCCCCAGAAGGCTCCAGGAGGCCCCAGGAAGGCCCAGGAGGCTCCAGGAGGCCCCGGGAAAGCTCCGATGGGGAGAAGCGTGAAAACACATGGGTTCCTATTGCCCAGGGCGGGAGAAGCGTGATAACACATGGTTCTTAACGCCCCAGCGGGGGAGAAGCGTGAAAACACGTGGGTGCCTAACGCCCGAGGGCGGGAGAAGCGTGACAACACGTAGGTTCCTAATGCCATGGGTTCCCAGCGCCCCAGGGCGGGAGAATCGTGAAAACAAAGGGGTTCCTAACGCCCGAGAGCGGGAACAGCGTGAAAAACAGCGCGGTCCTTCCATTCTCGGGGCCACATTGTGAGGATGTTTCGGGCGAGGGCTTCGGAACTGAATCTGATCTTGAGCTCAAGCTGGTCCAGAGTTCTGCGTATTTCGATTGCAACTAGCCTGAGCTATGCATTCAGGCAGCTAGAGCTTAAGCTCCGAATCAGTTCGGTCGGAATTCCGACGCCAAGGACGGCTTGATCCACAATGCAATAGCGCGCGGCACATTTCAACGCGGCATGACACATTTGACTTCAGCACAGCACGGCACAGCACAGCACAGCCCGTGGCACGGTGCATCATGATCGGTACCTTGAGCATTGATTGCTCTTCGCGATCGTGCGTTCGAGCAGGTCGACCTTAAGATCTAAATCAGTTCGGTAAGGTTTTGGTTGTGTGTTTATCCCCGGTTATGACGGCTGTAGGGTTGGCGAAATTATTTTGCGATGAATAACGAGGTCGCGAAGGGCCGGCGAAATTATTGGTGACGATGTTTCGAGCGAAACGCTTGTATTTCAGAATTTGTTGAGGATGCCTCGAGCGAAACGCTTGTTTTGTCTTAGAGATTGTCCTCTCCTGGGGACCTGAATTCAGAGGATCTCTCAAGTGAAATGCTTGTTTTCGCGTGCCCAGGTCTCGATGATGTCTCGAGCGAGACGCTTGGTTTCACGCCTCCAGGTTGCCCAGACAGATGTCTAGCATGAGGATTTGTTGAGGATGTCTCGGACCAGAGGCTTGTTTTCACGTGTCCAGGTCGGCCAGACTAATGTCTAGCATGAGGATGTGTCGAGGAAGTCTCGATCGAGACGCTTGTTTGCACTTAGCACGTTCCGTAACGCGTCCCCTTGGCACGTCCCGCGGTGCTTCCCCATGGCACGTCCGCTGGCACGTCGCCTGACGCGTCCCTTGGAACGTTCCGCGGCGCGTCCTCCTGGCATGTTCCCCTGTCAGATAATTCTGGGGAAGCAATACGGCACAATCTCGGCATGGCACATCGCAATTCAGCACGGTGCAGCACGGCACACCCCTCGGCACGGTACATCAAGATCAATACATTCAGCATTGAATTTGCCCGTCGCCCAATCAGGTGTCTTTGAAGCGTTGCTATGCCGTACATTTCTATATACCTTTCCGGTTCGTGGGTCGATCATGTTGTTTGTTTTTGTTTTCCCACCGCAACGCATCGCAGCCAAGCACGGTTAGCACATCCACTGATCGGTATTCGTCAAATTACACACGCGACAATGCTCCCGAACGACGTTACGCCGGGAAAGCCAGGTGATCATCTGGCTCACCCTCCCCCCCGCATCCTCCCAACTGAACGTTCTGCACGAGCCGTGCCTGCCACAAGCGCCAAGCTCTGCCGCGCTGCGCGGGATTCGAGCGCACGTGCACAAGATGCAGAGAGAGAGACAGAGAGAGACAGAGAGAGATATAGAGAGAGAGAGAGAGAGAAAAAGAGAAGCGGTCTGCGGCCATACGACCGCCTCCTTGTCATCATCCTCTCCTCCTGCGCCTCCACCCGAGAGCGCAAGCCCGCGCACCCCTGCACGCTTGCAGCTTCCACCGGCCCCCCCCGGGGTGCGCCGAAGCTCCGCTCCACGCTCTGTGCGCGGGGCGCCCCTGCCGCCCCCGCCGCACCCGGCGCCTCCTCTCAGTGGGCCTGGAAGCGCAGGTCTGGGGCCGACTGGACTGGCCGGAGGGCCCTGGATCTGCTCACCCTCGTCGGCGACTCCGAAGGGTATGGTTTGCAAAGAGTGTGGTTTGCAACCGGCGCGCGGGGACCCCGACAGAGCTCTCCGCCGCGCCCCGAGGAGGCCCGACGATGACAGTGTCGTGCCCCCCGAGCCCCAGCGGCGCCGATCGCAAACCACACCCCAGCGTAAGCTCACCCTTTGTAATCGCCGACCTCGGCACGACGGACAAGAACGTGTTCTTCAGCACCAGCGTCCACTCGATGCTCTCGCTGTCCCCCCGAGGCTCCCGAGTCGCCGTCGCTGGCGCGGCGTCGCGCAGGTGGCCGAGCTGGCTCCCCACGGTGAGCAAGAGCGGCTGGCTGTCGCCAGTCTGCCGCCCCCTTCTGCAGGACAGCCGCGAGCTCGCCACGGTGCGGGGCCTTGCATCATGTTGCGCCCATCGTACTTAAAAGCCACATCCCAGAAATAATTTCGAGCACCCGGAAGACGGTCGAAAAAGTGTCGAAACAGTGTCGAACGAGTGTCTCCCGTGGCCCGACACGTGAAAACCCCAAAGTTTCGGTGCTTTCTCGGTGCTCGAAAATTCTTCCTGGCGATCAGGGCTAAAGTAGGTTGGAACATCATAAGCCTTGCGGTCGTCTTCGGGCGCGGGCACCCGAGCGGGGCCACTACGGCGCCCATGTGCGCGAACTTGCACTTCCTTCCCTTGGTGCACTTGCCCAGGCTCCAGAACCAGCACGCGCCCTCGTCGCCCCGGCCGTGGGCCCCGCCTTCATGGGCGGCGGCTTCACGCTGCATCGCGGCGCAGTGGGGTTCCAGCCGCGGCAGAGCGTGCTGGGGAGCTAGGGGCTTTGGACAAAATCGCTAGGGAAGAGAACCAGAAGCAGAAGATTAATAGGAATGCAAACACAATGAAGCAGCATCATCATCCGCCGACCCCAGAGGCGTGTGAGGGAGAGTGCGTGCTAGAGCCATTCATCGTGAGCTTCTCCTGTCAAGCAGCCACCGACCGATACCACCCTCCTGGCTCCCTCCCTTGGAACCTCTGTTCTTGGGCCCCCCCTTCCCCCACCCCACCACTTCTCGCCCAAAACCGACCGATACCCCCAACCACGCCGCCCACCACGCCCCCGCCACGCCCCCACCACGCCCCGGCATCCCCACCCCATGGCGCCTCCCACAACGCCCCGGCGTCCCACGGCATCCCCGCCCCATGGAGCCTCTGTTCTTGGGACCCCCCACCCTACGATTTCTCGCCCAAGCCCGGCATCCCCACCCCATGGAGCCTCTGTTCTTGGGACCCCCCACCCTACGATTTCTCGCCCAAAACCTACCGACGCCCCCCTCCTGGCCCCGGCATCCCCACGCCATGGAGCCTCTGTTCTTGGGACCCCGGGGCTCTACGATTTCTCGCCCAAAACCTACCGACGCCCCCCTCCTGGCCCCGGCATCCCCGCCCCATGGAGCCTCTGTTCTTGGGACCCCCCCACCCTACGATTTCTCGCCCAAAACCTACCGACGCTCCTGGCCCCGGCATCCCCGCCCCATGGAGCCTCTTTTCTTGGGACCCCCCACCCTGCGATTTCTCCCACAAAACCTACCGACGCCCCCTTCCTGGCCCCGGCATCCCCAGCCCATGGAGCCTCTGTTCTTGGGACCCCCCACCCTACGGTTCTCGCCCAAAACCTACCGACGCCCCCCTCCTGGCCCCGGCATCCCCACCCCATGGAGCCTCTGTTCTTGGGACCCCCCACCCTACGATTTCTCGCCCACAACCGACCGACGCCCCCCCCCTGGCTCCGGCAGCCCCGCTCCATGGAGCTTCTGTTCCGCACCATGCGATTTCTCGCCCAAAACCTACCGACGCCTCCCTCCTGGCCCCGGCACCCTCACCCCAAGGAGCCTCTGTTCTTGGGACGCCCCACCCTGCGATTTCTCGCCCATAACCTACCGACGCCCCCCTCCTGGCCCCGGCATCCCCGCCCCATGGAGCCTCTGTTCTTGGGACCCCTTACTTGCGATTTCTTGCCCAAAACCTACCGACGCCCGCCTCCTGGCCCCGGCATCCCCGCCCCATGGAGCTTCTGTTCTTGGGGCCCCACCCCCACCCTACGACTTCTCGCCCCAAACCTACCGACGCCCCCCTCCTGGCCCCGACATCCCCACCCCATGGAGCCTCTGTTCTTGGGCCCCCCCCACCCTGCGATTTCTCGCCCAACGCCTACCGACGCCCCCCTTCTGGCCCCGGCACCCCACCCCATGGGGCCTCTGTTCTTCCCAGAGGTCTCGAAGTTGCTATACATCCGTTCCCACATGGCTCTTGCTATATCATAGCAAGCAAGACGCCTTGCCCATTATATAAGTATTGTACGTTCCATGAAACAAGCATTTCAATTATCAAACATAGCAACAACATCATATCGGCCACATGTCATACATAAATGTAGCCAATGTCGGCAAGCAACGCGCAATCCCGCTTGGATGCACACGTGTTCATCGGTGCGCCCGCAATTTGTACAGGACGTGGCGCGTTCGATGCAGTTCGTTCTCGAATTTCGCAGTGAACTCTGGTGTTGTTGTCGTTGTCACTGTTGCTGTTGCTGTTGTTGTTGTTGTTGCTGTTGATGGCGGTGGCGGTGTTGTTGATGGCGTCGTTGGTGTTGTTGGCGTTGTTGTTGATGGTGGTGGCGTTGGCGTGTTGGTATGAATGTTGTTGTTGCTGCTGTTGGTGTTGTTGTTTTTGTTGTTGATGTTGCTGTTGTTGTCGTGGTTGTTGTTGCTGTTGTTGTTGGCGGTGTTGTTGTTATTGTTATTGTGTTTGTTGTTATTGCTTGTGATGTTGGTGTGTGTGTCTGCGTTGTCGTGTTTGTGTTGTTGGTGTTGGCGTTGCTCGTTTTGTTGGAGTTGTTGTTAGTTGTTGGTGGTTTGGTGTTGTTGTTGGTGTTGTTGCTGCTGCTGTTGTTGCTGCTGCTGTTGCGATTGCGCGACGCTGCGCGCGGTGGCGCGCGCAGGCCCGCGTGCGCGGAATGCCCCAGGCCACCCGCGGGCGGGAGGCATCGTGGACTCGAGCATCTTCGTGCTCACGGCGGCGGGCAGGACGAGGAACGGGGGGGGGGGGGGCGGTGAGCGCCCAGGCCGCGTCGGCCGCGAGCGGTCGGGCGGTGTTGGGCAAGCTATGCGGCGCAAGCAACGCAGTGCCGCGCAGGGGGGGGGGCGGCGGCGCAACTGGCAACAGCCGCAGCACGACGGCGATCACGAGGACGACCATGACGACGGCCACCACGACGACGACGGGGGCAACGAGCAAGGGCGGCAGCACGGCGGGCAATGTTCTGCCACATGGCGCGGGAGGTTCCGCTCGGATGGGGAGCCCGAGACCGCGCAGGACGTTTTGCCTCTCGTGCCTATGCGTTGGCCATCCCCCTGCATGCTGATGTTGTCCCTCCCTATCACTCTCCTTTCCCCCCTCCTCCTCCTCCTCATATGTTTCCTCCTCGAGCCTTCTCCTCCTCCTCCTCCTCCTCCTCCTCCGCCTCCTCCTATCCCTCTTCATTCTCCTCTTCTTGGTCCTCCTTCTCCTCCCAATTCCATACATCCTCCTCCCCCTTCCCTCCTACTCCCTCTCGCGTTCCCTCTTGTTCCCTCCCTGACCCTAACGCGCCAACTACGGCACTGGTTCGCCCGAAGGCGGCACTTGCGCCAGTGGGACAGCGCCACTGGCCTACAACGTGATCCAGCCCAATCCTCCGTACCCTGATCCCCCTGATCCTCCTTCTCAATGTCATCATCCCCGTGGTATTCCTGTTATCCGTCTCTGCGTTTACTCTTCCGCGGGTCATCGTTGTTATGCTTCTTCGTCCTGCCCCCTCCTTTTCCCTTTCGCCCACCCCTCCCCTCCTCCACCTTATCCTCCTCATCTCTCTTACCAGCTTCAGATCCTCAGCGTTCCAACCCTCCCTGTTCTCAGTCTTCTCCCATTCCTCCTCCTCCTCCTCCTTATCCTTCTCTTCGATCCTCATGTTCTCTCTCCTGTTATCCTCCGTCCCCTCCTCCTCCTCCTCCTCCTCCTCCTCCTCCTCTTCCTCGTCTTTCAATTCTTGAGTACTCTCCTCATCCTTCTCCTCATCCGTCGCCTTCTCTTTCTCAGTCTCCTCCTTTTTCTCCGCCTCCTCATCTCCTCTTCTCTCCTACGTCACATTCCCTCTTTGGTCACATCCTCTTACGTGCGCCGCGCCGTTGGGCCAGCGTGCGCACCCGTGCTGCTCACTGTGCGGGCGGTTCAGTCCACCTTGGCCGGTGGGGCCATCTGTCCCCGTCGAACGCCCTTGGCCCCCCTCCCCCTCGACCACTGCCCAGGCCGCGGCCGCCAGAATCTCTCAAGCAAGGGCGGTGGGAGAGGATAGAGGCGGGTGGAAAGGGGAAGGGGGGGCTGCTGTTGAAGTCCTTGGAGGCCCTGGCAATGGTGGCCCTCCAGGGCCACTCCGTCCTTGCACTTCCACATCTCGCAGCCCCCCCCCTTTTCCCCCGCCACCTCTGTCGCACCGCCCTCCCCCCACCATCCCGCTCTCCCTTCGCAGCCCTCTCCGCCTCTGGGGCGGTTCGCCGCGAACCACTTGGCAGTGAGTCACGCGGGGTGCGAGCTCGAAAAACCAAGGTCCAAATAGAATTGCAAGTCGAGGCGCGCGAACACGCCTTTCTCCCAGCACGTGACCCTAGAATAACTGGCCTGTGCCAATCTGGAGAGGACAGAATTCAAACTCTCGTCGTGCCACGTTGCATACCTCCTCGGGTGCCCGAAGTAGCACATCCTGACACTGGGAACCTTAAGTAGGGACAGTAGGCATGGCGGTAGCGAGGGGCAACGGGGCCCGATTGCCAGGACGCGCCCGAGAACGCCGCGGCGCACAGGCCGTCGACGGAGGGGGGGTGCGTTGAAGGTCGGGGCAGGGGAGGGCACGGGTGGAGGGGAACAGAGATGGAGAGAGAAAGAGAGAGGGAGAGAGAGATGGGGAGAGAGAGAGAGAGAGAGAGAGAGAGAGAGAGAGAGAGAGAGAGAGAGAGAGAGAGAGAGAGAGAGAGAGGGGGCATGCCATCCGCATAAGGTGCGCAACGTCAGATCACCTACTTATGGAGGGCGGTGATGCCACAGCGGTGCCCGAGTGCCCCCAGGCTCTAAGCAAAGCGCGGGCCTGCGGAGACAGGGCGAGCCCTGGTTCGATTTGATGACACCTCCCACCCCCCTGGGATCCGCATGCGAGGGGGGAACGGGGTGGGCGGGTGGGCGCCTGCCGCCGTAAACTGGCGACGTCTAGGGTGGAGGATGTGGATGCCTAAATTGATGCCATCTGCGGGCCATCGCGACGCGCGCAATTTTACATCCGTGCCCAGGGGCCACCAGTTGAACGTTGCTGTACTCTCAGGCCTCGTTCGGCCCCCTCGTCGGCGGGCTTCTGTCAAACTTCCCTGCGATCGGTTGTGCTACAGCCCTGCATGGGAGGGTGAGTAGGTGACTGACTGACTGACTGACTGACACACTGCTGTTGAACAATGTGTACACACGCCCACGTTATGCTAGCTGGGAGCCGACGGCCCCGCGCGCAACCCCAGCCGACCCCCAAGGGGGCCGACTGCCCCGCGGGCAGCCCCAGCCGACCCCCAACGGGAGCCGACGGTCCCGCGCGCAGTCCCAGCCGACCCCCGAAGGAGCAGGCGGTCCCGCGCGCGGTCACAGCCGACCCCCAAGGGACCGACGGTCCGCACGCAGTCCCAATCGACCCCCTGTTATACACGCGCCGACG